TCGCTCGGGCCTTAGAATAGGGTCTTGGGGTATATCATACTAAAGTTATAATAAGGACCCGCCCCAAGATAGTATAGGTAACTCTTCAGGCCCCTATAGTAGACCTTTAACCTCACTGCAAACAAACGGCAAATCGGTTGTGGTAAGCACTGTGGAGGGCGATCTGCCCATTCCCGGCATCGACAACGGTGAAGCGCTCCCATGACCACTCCCACGGCATCTGGTCCTCGAATAACACGGTTTAGGTTCCAGCACTTCGGGTTCTTGCTCACGCTGGGACCCACAACCTTAACCTTAACTTGTGTACTCTATGAGGGTACAGTTTCAGGCCAAAGCAAAAGCTTTAGAGATACGTCCTATACCCCTAATCCCCTAAAGCTATCCAAGGCTAAACCCTAAACCCTAAACCCTTAAACCCGTAAGCCCTAAACTCTTTACTCTAAACCGTAAAAACCCTGGAACCCTAAACCACTAAACCCCTAAACCCTTAACTCTAAACTTTAAAACCCTAGAACCCTCACCCCAGCACTATTTTCTTTTGGGGGGGTCCTTTTTATGATGATAGTATAACCCTAAGGGTTCAAGTCGTCCTCATCTATGGTTTTAGGTTCCCAAAAAGGCCCCAAAGTCCTCAAACAATGGGTACTTGGACCCTTACATTAATGGACCCCAAACCCCTATTCTAAGTATGAAGGCCCAGGGTTTAGGGTTTAGGGTTTTAGGGTTTAGGGTTTAGGGTTGCCCCTACAGTAGCTTAACTCACTGAGGAGACGGCCGCCGCTTTGTGAATGCTAGAGTCCATGTCGGCCTCAGGGGCCAGCCAAAGACTCCCAGGTAAGTTCAAGGGACTAAAGGAGGGACCCTTAAAGGGGTTTAAGGTTTAGGGTTTAGGGTTTAGGACCCTTGGGGTTATATAGAGGCTTTATGATAAGAAGGGGTATATACGGGTTATATGGGGTATTTGGATTAGGGGTCCCTTCTGGGGGTCCCTCCTACTGTCCCTTAGTAAGTGGCTTGGGGTTTCGGGGCTTCGGGGTTTCGGGGCTACGGGGTTTCGGGGCTTGGGAGTTTAGGGGTTCAGGGTTAAGGGATTAAGGGGGTCAAGCTGTAGGGTTCAGGGGTTTAGGGCTTAGGGGTTTAGGGTTTAGGGGTGGTTGAGGCGTTTGGGGTTAAGGCGTTTAGGCATTGAGGCTTAAGGGATTTAGGGGTTCAGGGTTTAGGGGTTTGGGGGCTTCGGGGTTTAGGGTTTCGAGGTTCAGGATTAAGGAATTTAGGGGTTTAGGGTTTATATGGGGTTTAGGGGTTTAGGGGCTTAGGGTTTAGTAAGTGGTGGTTTAGGGGTTATAGGGGTCTCATAGGGTTCAGGTCGGCTTAGACGTCTAGGGATGTCTAAGGTTGACATGTTTAGGCCGTAACAGAGATTGTTTGTTGGTGGTTGCTAAGGGGTCGATATGTGGGTTTTGCAAAAAGCGTTGTATAAGGTATATGGCTAGTAGAGGGGTGTAGACGTGGTCTACCAAGGTTTCATAGAATGTTTGCAAGAGTTTAAGCATGAAGGATCTCCTACAGTAAACGTGGGACACTTCCTCTTTTTCCCGTAAGCACATAAACAAGCACTGTAACAAACATATAAGTGGTCACATACTCAGCAATATTCTTCTATTCTTAACCCTTCCCCCAACCCAGGTGTAGCACTAAACACTGAACAAAGGAGCCTTCCCCCAACCCAGGTGTAGCACTAAACACTGAACAAAGGAGTGCAAAATCGACGGGGCCCAAGCGGCCGAAAACCCTAAACCCCCCCCTAGACCCTGAAACCCGAACCTTAAACCCCTAAACCTTAAGCCCTGACCCTCAACCCCAAAATCCCAAACCCTAAACCCTAGACCCTAAACCCCAAACCTTCAGCCCCCAAACCTTAAACCCCTAAATCCTAGACCCTAAACCCCAAACCCTAAACCCTAGACCCTAAACCATAAACCCTAACCCTCAAACCCGATAGAGGCTGGGGCCTGGTCGTTCATGCGGAGAAACCGGTTCCATCGAGCGCAGTGCAGGCCCACTACGGAGCCCGGCTCCAGGAAAGGCTTTACCTGCTTGAGGGTTTAGGGTTTTGGGTTTAGGGTTTAGTTCCTAAGGCTCCATGTGCCCATATAGTACATACTTAGGCCTTAAAGTACCTATATAGGGACTACTTTAAGGCCTAAGTATATACTATATGGGTACATGGAGCTTTGGCTTCAGGACGACTATCACAGTTATAGTAGACCTTCTCTAAAATAGGATCCCTGTTTAATGGTTCCTTAAAAAGGATCTACAATTATTATGGGGGTTTAGGATTATAGTAGACCCCACCAGATTAAGGACAAATAGTGCTGGGATTCCCTATATATTACTCTTAATGATTGAGGCTGTCGCGTTGCCAACTGTTGGGCTTCTACTCTATAGTAGAGGTAAACTTACGACAGTTACTAGTATATTCCTAATTGTCGGTAAATCGGTCTAGGGTTTAGGGTTTAGTAAAACTAAAACAGTTATCATTACCACTATAGTTGCTGTTGCCAGTGTTATTGCTATCGTTCTAGTTAAGATTGTGATGATTGCTTTGGTTCTTCTTTCTTGTTTCGGAAAGCTGAGTGTAATGGTATAGGGTGTTGTAATTATGGGCGCGGGAGGACTTCAAGCTGCTATGATCTCGGGAACACCTTCCTCTCCTTCTTTCACACACTCTGCTTGTCAGTCAGTCTGTCTGTCTGTCTGGCGCTCTCTCTCTCTCTTTCTCTCTCTCTCTCTCTCTCTCTCTCTGTTTCTCCAAATAAACATATCTCTGCCTATGTCTATATCTATACACATATCTATCTGTATATGTACTTATGTCTGCATCTATGTCTATGCTTATTTATACCTATATGTAAAATATACCTCTGTACAAACTAGGCGTAAATGTTTGAAATGTATATGTAATTGTGTATGTACGTACACACACATATGCTTGCATGCAGACATATATGCATATGCATCTTACATGTGTATGCATACCTACATATATGTGTGTGTATATATATATATATACACACATGCACTTGTGACATGATGTCGCCCCATACGATTCTGTCCTGAAGCTCCAACTCCGCACTTTTTTATGGCGTGAAAGGCAACCCACGGGCTTCTGAGCGGCGTGCCTGCAGCACACGGAAGCGCTCAAAGATCATGGCAGCCGGAAGGTCTGATGCATCCTTCGTGATGCTGCGGAAGGCCACTCCCTGGTCGGACACCGCGACGAAGCCTCCATGCATATGCCCGAAGGGTCCTATGTACCTAAATAGCAGAATGTAGGGTTTCTATATATTCAGAAGTACTATTTTGATTTAGGGAAGCATCCCCCCATAACAGTATACAGGACCCATAACAGTATACAGGACCCTTTCTTTGGCATGGCATGCTGGGAAGGTTTGCAGTATACAGCTTATCGTAATTACAAACCCTGAGGGTCAAAAAGGACCTAGGAGCTTCGTTGCCAAACACTAACTTTCCAAAGTGCCTATTACCGTAGATTCGAGAAACCAACCATGGGGCACATGGACCCTGTGCGCTCATAGTTCCCCAATGGGAGATGGCATCTTTCTCTCTTGCGGCCCCACCGAGACCGATGAGCTGGCACAACCCTCAGACAAACCCAAGCTAGTTGCAATCTACACACCGACATCGCAGCGAACTCGAAAGCGCTGCCTGCCAACATGAACCCGTCAACCTAATTGAAACCCGTGGGCAGATGTGTGTATGTATGTGTGCATATATATATATATATAAATGTATGTCATGCCATTCTGCATGACCGAGAGTTTAGTAGGCGCATGCCTGTGCATGACCCAACATTTGAGTATATCAAGTACCAATCCCAAAGCTCATGTACCCAAACAGAATATGATTTTACTTTGGCTTCAAAGTAGTCCCTACATAAGTACTTTCAGGCCAAAGTATATACCATTTCAAACATGGACCCTTGGGAACTTTTGCAAGTCATGCTAGCATGCACATGTACATGTCGGTACGTATGAATGCATGTACGAAACTATGTAATAGCTACATACAACGTGCGAAGGCGGACATGCCCGTGGGTACGTGCCTCTGCGTCCAAGCAGACTCATAAAGAATTACATGTAACCGAAGTCCTAAACAGTGCCATGAAGCGATTGTGGGCACGATTGTGCAAAGCGATCGTTCCATTTCCGGCGTAGACCACAGTGAATCGTTCCCAACTCCATTCGGCGGGGAGGTCAGCTGCAGCCTAGGTGGAGAGTTTCGAGTCCAGGAAACCGAGCAGACATATGAACAAGCAAATTGTGTGTATATAATATGTATATATATATATATATGCATATGTCCATATATGTCTAGATCTACATATATGTCTGTGTAGCTGCATGTACATGTACAAACAGACATAGATAGATCGATCGATAGATACACAGATAGATAATCCGATAGATCGATATATAGATCGAAGGATCGAAAGAAAGATCGATAGATCGATAGATAGACAGACAGATAGATAGATAGATAGATAGATAGATACACAGATAGATAGATCGATAGATCGATAGATAGATCGATAGGTCGATATATCGAAAGATCGATAGATAGATAGATAGATAGATAGATAGATAGATACACACAGATATGTATACAGATAGATTTATACTGTACGGTTTGCGGCTGAGCTTCAGTGTGTTCGGTCTGGGGGTGAGTTTAGGGAGTTGCGTTTAGGGGTTTAGGGTTTAGGGTTTAGGGTTGAGGGTTGAGGGGTTGAAGAAACGTAGTAGCCGGCCTTGCATGTCGCTATACCGTCTCCGCGATACAGCTCTCAGGAATCATCCGAAGTTTGTAGTAAAGCCACAAGCACTGACAGAAGATTGCGGAAAATCTCAGCACATCTATTCTTAGGAAATCAGTTTTTCTTCAACCCAAGACCCTAAACTTATAAGCTGTGGACCCGATAGAACCCTGATGGAACCCTTTTAGAACCCTTAAAAGAACCCCACATGTTTCAGGCTGCGCTACCCTGAAGGGGCTGGCATCCATCCCTTCCTGGTTCATCCGGACGAAGCGGTTGTGGAGGGTGTTGTGAAGAGCGATCTCCCCGTTCCCGGCGTCGACCACGGTGAAGCGTTCCCAAGTCCACTCCTTGGGCTTCATCGACGAGAACGGCGAGGCTACTAAGAAAGCTTAATGTAGGGGCCTTAAAAATAGGGTTTTGGGGGATCCTTATCACAATTATAGTAGAATGTACCAAAAAAACTACTAAACAATATACATGCCCCTACATTATTCCACCATGTGGCTGGTTCAACTAACTTCTTCGGCCAGTCATACACAACACCATGACGGACATGTAGTAGTCTTCACCGCGGCGCTGGTCAGATATAAAAGGAACTTCAGCCGAAGGATAAACCCAAGGACTAAGCCCTAAGCCAAAAAAGAAAGCCAGAAACGACAACTCCAAACTAAACCCAAACTCTGCGCCCAAAGGCCCTACACTAAACCCCAAACCCTGAGCCCCTGATATAGGGCCTTTAGGATTAGAATGGGATTTACGGGCGAAGCTATCAGTAAAGATATATTCTGGAACCCCGGGGGCATGGTATTGCATGGCACTGCTTCGGGCCCCTACATTCTCAGAGGATACCCTAGGGTTCTAGAAGGGCCCGCTTAAAGGGTACTATAGAGTTCTATAATAGGGTCACCATTAAACACAAAGGGTTTAGGATGGGGGGTGGTGCTTTCCCAAATCATAATAACGATTCTTAACATAGAAACCCTACACTCTACTATGTAGGTACATGGAACCTTCAGCCCCCTAAACCCTGAACTAAACCTAGGAATATCTGCAGCCTGTGAAGCCGACAGAGCATCCGAGGCTCGAAAGGGAAATCGTCTCGGGGCTCTGAGGCATCCATGTCGCTCTGCGAGTTCATGCGCAGGAAGCGGCCTTATATCAGACGGTTTAGGATTTAGAGTTTAGGGATTAGGGTTTAGAGTTTTGTGTTTATAAGGGCCTTATCTCATAGGCATAGGGATGAGGCTTAGGGATCCAAGGTTCAGGGACTAATTGTGAAAGGGTTTTGGGGGTTTGGAGGTTTTGGGGTCTATAGGGTTTAGGGAGCAGTCAGGGTGTAGAGTCTACAGCGTCCAGGATCAGCATTCAGCCATTTCCGTAACGCAAGAGCGTAAGTCCTTTGAAGCTCGAGGACTTTAATGCTCAAGGGTGTAGTCGCAAACCCACCCCGTCTTAGTCTCAGGATGCCAAGATCTCTAGGACCCTAATCCCTAAACCCCAGTCCCTAAACATCCACAAACCCCTAACCCTAAACCCACAAGGCCGCGGCGGTGAGTGTCCCCCTTCAGGCCAATAGTGGAACCAGGAGTGAGGCCGGGAGGTGGAACCTCGCGGGGGAGTCAAAAGAGTTCGATGGGAGTAATAAGTAGATGAGATCCCTCAGGGAGCACAGAACCCTTAAGGTTTAGGAATGAGGGTTTAGGGTTTAGGAATCAGGGTTTAGCACTGAGGAACCCGGGTTTCGGGCTCAGTGTGTAGAACTCTTGAAAGACATTACAGCCAAACATTCTAAATGCGGACTTAAACCCTACCCGAAATCCCCAGATCCAAACCCTACCCTAGACCTTACACTCTGAACCCTAAAACCTCACCCCCAGATCCTGCGTGTTCAGGCCCGGAACACGCACAACCGATCTTCCATGATTCGCAGGACTTAGAGCTCTTGTCACTGTGCGGGAAAATCACGTATGTAAGCTAAGCACAAGTTTCTGTGTTTGACGCGTGGGCAGTTCTAAATTAGGGTCCCTCTTTTTGGGTCATGTATAAGAGTGCCGTACTAATGTGGGGGATTAAAAGGGGCCATAATTTAGAGAACTAGCCATGTGCCTAACTATCTTTCTATCTATCAGAGCGTCAAAACCTGAACCACTGGATGGTCAACCGAAATCCTCTTCCCTGAACAAAAAAGCAAACTAAACGCCAAACCCTGAACCCTAAGCCCTAATCCCTAAACCCTAATCATTCCTATTCCCTGATCCCTAAACCCTAAACCCTGAACCCTAAGCCCTAATCCCTGAACCCTAATCATTCCTATTCCCTGATCCCTAAACCCTAAACCCTGAACCCTAAGCCCGAAACCCTGGACCCTAATCATTCCTATTCCCTGACCCCTAAACCCGAAACCCTGAACCCTAAGCCCTAATCCCTAAACCCTAATCATTCCTATTCCCTGATCCCTAAACCCTAAACCCTGAACCCTAAGCTCAAACCCCTAAACCCTAATCATTGCTATTCCCTGATCCCTAAACCCTAAACCCTGAACCCGAAGCCCTAATCCCTAAACCCTAACCATTCCTATTCCCTGATCCCTAAACCCTAAACCCTGAACCCTAAGCCCTAATCCCTAAACCCTAATCATTCCTGTTCCCTGATCCCTAAACCCTAAACCCTGAACCCTAAGCCCTAATCCCTAAACCCTAATCATTCCCATTTCCTGATCCCTAAAACCTAAACCCTGAACCCTAAGCCCTAATCTCTAAACCCTAATCATGGCTATTCCCTGATCCCTAAACTCTAAACCCTGATCCCTAAGCCCGAAACCCTGGACCCTAATCATTCCTATTCCCTGACCCCTAGACCCGAAACCCTGAACCCTAAGCCCT